GGGAGAATCGCCTTAAAATATATTTCTATGATTGTAATTCTTGTCCCGGTTTTAATCGCATAATGAACAATGCGAAGTATGATTAATTCTTTTACAAATTGACATGTTAAATAATAGGACCGATTGCATGTGGACATTATAACTACCGGGTCATATTTAGTATCCAATAAAATTATGTCACATCTCTCCAAATCAATTATTCTGTATACGATTTTTAGTACATTTAGTGTTATTTTGCAATTGATCATGTCAGGAGCTTGTTTATGAGTGATTTGAAGACCTAAGAAAGCAAATGCCAAAACTAATAAACGGTTTCGACCAAAAAAAAAAACTCTTGCAAATGATTGCAAGAATACTCCGTCCTAATTTCCAATCATTCAGGGATAGAAATATGATAAGCATAAGCAGTCCCGCTACAATTGCCTCGCCCTTTGTAGATATCCGATACGAACAGTGCAGAGAATCATCTAATAAGACGGCTAATAAATGTGACCGGACCAGGTAGCAATGAACTACCAAGTTCCGACCCCAGATTATCGCACCGGTTTGAATCCGAAACGTGGATGGATTATCTTATGAAGGATGTTGACTTACCAATTGCTTCGAAGCAAATATCTCAAAAGAATTCCATCGTGAAGAAGCCTTCTCAGAAGAACTCCCATAGTTCTCGACACAAGAGCGTGTAGTTCCTTGACCTAGCATTAAGACAAGGCAAAACAACTCCGTCACAAAACAAAGAACACGCACATATCGACGCAGAACATAGTACAAGGTTATTGCCAGCAGATCTGGAAGTTCACAACTTTCCTGCTGCTCTCCATCAATTAGAATCAGTGACATGTTTAGTCCCATGTCCTTGTGAATGGACGGGAGCTCTTATTTCTCAACATCATTTTACTTGGCATCTTTACCAATAGCACGTCCTTCCACTAAAATGGGTGGAAATGCCTGTATGCCTAATCTATGCAGAGTAGGCACTCTATTCAGCAATACGAGTAATATGAGGTGCCCTTGCATAACTTCTTGCTAATCTTTGGTTTATCTCTTCGGGCAGTGAGACTTTCTCAAAAGTGGTAAATAATTGGACTTCGCAATGCGGATACATGTTTAGTGGGTTAGGTATCTGTCAAGTTCCTAACTAAACTGACGTCCCCAAGTTCCTCTTTTGCTTGGCAATGTTGTCCACTTTATGCTTTTTGAGTATTAATTTCAGTCCCCCGCTAATTATCATTCAACCTGCGAGTAATGGACTTTCGATTCAATCACCGGAGAAGTGTATTCGGGATGAAGTCTAACAGCTCTCAGCATCCATACGTTCAAGGACATGCCACGCCTCTTCTTCCGTGGATTAGACAAATTTCTGAATCCTCAATTCATCATTCACGGCCTGTTAGGATGATAGATGAAATGATAAAAACTTATTAGGAGTATCTAAGACATGGTGATCTGAAGCCAAGTCTGACAAAATATCAGTTCATTCTTGAATAGGCAGACTTCAGTGTCCCCCAACTAGTTGACCAGTTCATTCTTGTTTCTCTGTTTGAATTTTATTATGCACGATCATTATGTTAAGGGAAGGTAGATAGTTTGGGCCCAAAAGAAGGGGGGAGTAAATAGATAAAGCCCCTAACCACCGCATCCTTTGACGTCTGATCACAGTAGCCGAATGTATTGAAATTTGCTTGAGGAAAATGTCACCCGCATGGGCCACTAGTACCTCGCTTGACCTGAGCTCAGGTGGCATCACATGGGCCACAAATTCGACATTTATCAGGTGTTCAGCTGAAATGTCAAGCTACGTATACAGGATACAGCATTTAAGGCGGAGAAAATTACCAACGTCCGCCTACGTCCCTAAAATAATATCCTTCATATTATGATCTTCCACTTAACAGATCCATAATTTCACACATAAAGATCAAACTGCAACAGTGAAGGCTCAAATACGACAATCCGTGCTTATAGAAGACTCTAACACCAGATATATCACGTAACTATTGCATAGAAATACATCTTGCGTAGGATGAATACTTACAGGTCTCAAGAAATCAACATAGTAAACTTCAACGAACTGCGGTGCCACACCAGCAAAAGCATATATAGTTGAACAGGCATATTCAAAGGCCCTTCGCATTAAAAATCCTCCAAATATCCTTCCATGGATATTCCTTGCGGCTGGCATACTAATGAGTTCTCAAAACAAGTTTCTCCCATCAGAATGCTATCTCTGTCTGCCGGAGCTCGCATATCACAGAAGACACGAACTTCGGTAAGTCAAGCCTGGAACCTGGACAAGTCCTCCACCTTACTATCCCTGCTACATTCTTCTCTCTTCTTTTTCCTCAGTTTATTCGTCTTTTCTGCCTCTTGCCAAAGTAATTTTTCTCTCTCTGTCTCTGGTGAGATGGGGGTTAATTGGAGTTGATTTCCCAGTTCTAGAATCACAAGCCACAAATGTGAAATTGTCGGTAAGTGCAACTGAATCTGAGGAATTCCGGGTTTCTGCAGGAAATTACCAGTTTAAGGTAAATAGCAGAATGGATCAGTAATGAGACTATATCATGGAAAGGATAACTTTATGAAGATCTGACATCCGAGTATTATGCTTAAACAACATGCCAAAAAACTTGACAAATTACCAATATCTTTTGGCAAGAGGATGTTGATTAGTAAGCTTCTCCATAGTTTGGATGGGTTTATATTTTTATTTTTTTGGTAATAAGAGAATGGTAAATGGCTAGCAAATTAGCAAACTGCTCCTTAGTTTTTATGAGTAGAGCAAAGAAAACATGCAAGAGTAAATATGGTTTGCAAAGAATAAACATATATTTAAGGCACAGCCACGAAAGTGACACCATCCTTAGGGATGAGGAGTAACGTGACTCCTGCAACTGCTTAGTGGCAGCAGATGGAAATGTATATTCTTATCCAATAAGCCAACAAAGCAATGTCATCAACTTGAGGGGAGAGAGTAGCATACTATCAACGATGGGAAGATCTGTTTCATATTATACCTTCTGTAGACTAAGTTACTTCCAGTTGGATCTCCATCGACAAGCGCCCTACTTATGTAGCAGCTCCCACTATTTGCAAGTCAGTGTCAATACGTGTTGGCCTCTTGAGAAACATCCTGTCTACGGAAGCAGTGACTAGTAATTGACGCCTTGTGGTGCCATGGTTGCTGGAGCAATGCTGGTCCAAAATTGAAAGGCTAAAAAAACAATGGGGATGTTCTGTTACGCACAATTTTTGATGAATTCCCACACCATATGAACTATGACTAATCACTGGAGAACTTAAGCACTAAACCTCTGATTGCAGAAATCGATATGGACAAAGATTGATAAGAATTTGTATATGCACATATACAAATGATAGAGACAAATTTCTGATTACAGCAAAGCAATAGCATGTACAATTTTTTCGTCTGAAAAATGAACTTCTGTCTAATACGAGATGACCAATTCTAGATTATTAAAAAAGGAATTGACATTCGAACTACGAATAGCAGAATACTAGAACTGATTATCCACCGAGCACCGACTAAGGACCAGCATCGTCAGTTTTATATCAGGAATTTATCAAAACACCACATAACCGTGTTGCTCTAGTAGTGTCGATGACATCATATTCAATTCATCTCCTGCCGAGAAAGCTCTTTTTTGCAATGACAAAGCATGCATTGCGTTGAAACAAGTAATACGCAGGGACAAAAACGCTCGAAATTCCGTCTAAAACATCATTCGATCCAAGAAACTTAAGCTGGAGAAACATCGCAGAGTATAAAGGGAACCATATTCAGAACGAGAAAAAATTAAGGTATCGCCATCCAATTGTTGTTCAAAGCAGAGTCTATCTACCTCATAGCATATGGTCCCAGCGAGAGCATCGAGATCTTCCGCCAACTTCCCCCATCCTGATCTCATTCCAAGGATTCCCATACAGCTCTCTGAGCACATAATCACCACTAGAAAACTTGTAGAAAATGCTCGTCCTGCTACGAGACGGACTCCTTGGGAACCAATTCGCTCTCCGGCAACGCAGCGTTCCCGCTCGCACCGGCATCGCCGACCTCCTCGGATATCTTGGATCTCGCTTCCCACAAGGCGTTGGTGACAGGGGAGAAGTACATGCCGGGCTACAAGCCGATCGGCTTCCGAATCGAGCGATCCGGCGTCGATGGGCAGAGAACTCTCGTAGGGCGGAGGGGCCGTGGAGGCCACCGGAATCGCGCTCGCCGTCACACCGGAGGCTCCGCCGTCCGCCGTGGCGGAGAGGAGACGGTTTGAGAGCGTTTATGTGGAGAGGCGTCGTCGTCCTCATTGGAGCTGAAGGAGTAACGGGCACGGAGGAGAATACAAGGGAAGACGGCCCCACGGCTCGCTTGTTTTGCTAAATATGATGATTTTAAACTAATCGAGTGAAATTTACGGCACCCGCAAAATTTATACGTCCTTACGTGAAAATTGCACTTTTGGTTCGTAAGAAATAGATATTTGGTTTCAAATCTATTACCCACAAAGCGATTTATTCAGTTGTCAGGTAAAAATTAGAGGAAGAATAGCTATTTGGTCGGCTCCCTTGTGAAAATAACAACCGTGTTTTAGTTGGTCTAAATTGCACGACGATAAGAGGACGATTATACACATTCTTGTCTTTAAATATGAATACAGAATCGCGATGTTCCTGAATTTACATCCCGTCTACGAGAAAATTACTGCCCCTTGTGTAAATTAACAATCTATCGTTTTACCTTAAGAAGCACAGCCTATCAAATTTTCTTTTTTAATATAATTATAAGAATGAACCGATGATTTACTATCAATAAGAGCCGACACACGCAAGGATTAGTACAAGGAAATGGAAATCCATCGATTCTCCACACTAGTCACAAAGATACACAAACTAGTAAATTCTATTCGAACGGTCATGTGTAGAAATGCTGTGAGGATGATAAATAAGACAATTGACGTGGAGGAAATATCTAAGTGGAGTCTTCGTCATATTGCGCGCGCAGGCCTGTGCTTACTCATCTCATCCCAGAATTCGTAATACATGCCCCATTCAGCCCTGTAGAAGCAACCGAAATGAGCCATCAACAGCCAAACAAAGGCAAGAAGCTCTCCACCTTTGCTCAGCACCTGCACGTGTGCCTCGCCTTTAATATTAACCGCTGCATGTTGCAGCATCTCGACCCACTGACCGCTCATGATATTCCACTTCGCTTCCCCAACACGTTCCTCCATCCTGTGGACCAAAGAAAGCCCTAGCTTGACCAGGGATTCCGATTGGTTGGCAAGACGCGGTGCGACCCTTCCTCGAGGGGCCGCTTCATCGTACAATTTTTTGCATATCTCTGCCAGATCCTTGGGCGCATCACTGATGATGAGGCGGCGTAGCTCGAGCAGCGTCTCCACTGTTCTCTTTTGGGCAATGCCCACAACCGTCACCCCGGACATCACGTTAGGCTGATTAAGTAAAAGATACAACATATAGTCAGAAAGGATCTTGCTAAATTCCCTTTCATCATTTCTTTCGGTGGGTTTCTCTGTGTTGTAACAGATTTCAGTAACAATATGCCACAATATAATCATACTGTGGAAATTAGCCATGTTGACGTGCTCCTTCGGTACGTTAGGACTGTCCAGCCCCCACAGATGCGTAATACCACGATTCTTAATTGTCAGCCTCACCCATTCCGGATCATCCACATTCTCGGATCTACGTTTCACATCATTAAAGATAAAGATCCAGAGCTTCTTAATAAAGAGATTCTCGGACACGTACTCCGCATTCATCGATCTTTTACCACAGCATCTGGCAATTGTCTCACCAGCTTGATGGAAACGAGAGATGATCTTGTCAACCATTCGGAATGGAAAACTGCAGATATTTTTAAAAACGATGATGCCTCGGAACCGATTGCACTTACATATCTTTCTTGGACTCTCCTTCAATGCCTCAGAAAAAAGGTTGCAAGCAGAGATGGACTCTGACCACCTTCGAAATATTAATGGTGTATCGAACACCTCGTAAGTAACATTGGCCTTAGGATATACTTCACTTGTGGCGTATCGAGGCTTCCTCAGGTAATCCGTGGCGGATACCAACTTGTAGAGAAATGAATCTAGTTTAGATGACCCTGTGGTGTTGTACTTGATTCTCGCAACAGTCCAATCGGAGAAAACGAGCATGAACAGAGCTATCCCATCAAGAACAATCCCTCCGAAAAGAAGGATATGAGTAATTTTCACATCAAGTTCGAGGAGCCGATACTTCTTCAAGCGATTGAACAGACCCAGAGCCACCGCAACACTAGTGAAGGCTATGATGCGGAATATGTAGCTCCACCTGTGACGTATTGTCAATGCTTTTGTGTGGAGCTCCTCGTAAATGAAATCGAGTTCGACTAATATCAACCTCAACGCATCCACCGCGGAAACTTTGGCAAAATATTTGCGGCTCATTTCGCGTTGTTGTTTTGTGAAGATGAGATCTGCGATGAAGACCTTAAAGATTTGAAAGAATGAGTAAGCATGCTTCACCACGATGCTCTCGGCAAGCTTTGCTCCTTCTTCATCAGAACATCCATATCCATCCGAATGAACAATGAGTTCTTCAAGCAATTGCGACGAGTCTGCGGCCATTCTTGGCTTGTTGTCTAAGAGCATCGATTCCCTGAGCTTTGGGAAGCTCGAGAGATAGAGTGCCAGTGTCCTCTCCGCAATTTTTATAAACCCTGCTAGAAACACCAGGATCGTTGGGATCACCAGCGACTTGTCGCTTGGAAATATCCGCACAAAGACGTAGATGGCGGCACCGACTTGGAAGATGAGACTGAGCAGGTGCCGTTTCCAAAGTGAACTGTCCTCGAGGGAAAAGGCAGTGATGGTGTCCGGACCACCAAGATGTAGCAAGAGAAATGAGGCCCAGAATGCCTGAAGTGCTCCGTCTACTTCTGCTACACGAGCGTGTAAATTGCCTTGGTTGTGAGAGATGAGCCCGACTGCAAATGCAGCTACCGAGTCAGCCATCAAATAGGCCAACCACAAGAGGAAGATGATGGGGCGGTTTGCTGTTTTCTTTCTAAGGGGTGCAAATAGAATGAGACAGATCTGAAGCGAGAGGCTCAGTACGACGAAGCCTCGGATGTTCCATTTGTTCCACAAATCCAGGAAGAAGCTAACTGCCATGTTTTTGAGCAGTTTGAATCTTTGTCTCTTCTCTCTAATATAATTTCGGTTACAGCAAAACTAGCCTCTCAACACGCATCAAGAAAATAGTGCTTTGCAGACTTTATAAGGAAGCCTTGAAAGTAGAAATTTACAAGCGAGGCAAAATGGTTGGGAGTTGGGTTGGGTGATGCTGAGGAGGGTCAATGCTTGGGACTTTGAGACTCGGGAGGATGAAGAGGCACGAGCACAGCACCGGCCTTGCTCTGCCTCTGCTTCAGGGAGTGGTGTAGTTAGATGATAGATCCCCGGAGGGATCACAAGAATTTATATATCTGGCCTTGGACTGTTGTTTTCCTTTTTCCTCGTTCGATTAGATAATATTTACCATTCTACCATCGTCATGAAAACAAGATATATGCATATCATTTTTTGTTGATTGATGCTTGACTTTTAAAACATGTACGCAGATGGACATTTAAAGTTGTGTAAAACTCCATCGTATATTCTAAAAAAAAAATCAAAAGGTATATTATGGGGACAACTAGATCTGATTTATGGTCATGGCAAATCAAGTACTAAACATCTCAAATCCTTCCTTCAAAAAGTTCATATTAACATTTAAAACTCGTCACGATAAGGTCTACCTTAAATAGGTTAATTATGAGTCCATGTATATCCTCCTAATACCACAATTCTAATTAAGACACAAGCCAGAGCATCAATGTTTTAAAGCCAAAGCTTCATAAAGACTTGAAGCGTGAGGATTAGTATGATGAAGCCTTGAATGTTCCATTTGTTCCATATATCCAAAATTGAGCACCATGTTTTTGCTTAGTCTAATTATTGTCGCTCCTCTCTAATATAATATCGGCTACAACAAGATATATTGGAATAATAGTGGGGAATGTCTATATACATGTTGAGATAGTTTGTCATTTGTTTGTCAGCAAACGGTATCGATACGAAAAGCCAAGAAGCTAAAATAATTGTGAACCAATAATTCTGCAAATGAACATAAGCAAGATATCTCATGCATTACATGGCAGAAGAAAAGTATCTCATGCATAAATGATGCCAAAAACTTCGTGTCGGATTGGTGTTTTATCTTTGAATTGGTTCTATCTCGATTCTACTTGCACATTTATCTGTAATTGTCCGAGTTTTGAATTATGAAATTTCAGTAGCCATGATGAGTTTATTGAAATGTTTGGTGATATTGCATTTAAGAAGACACTTGATATTATTGATGAGTAAAATACCATCTAACAAGTCATATGAGTGTGCTTTTATAGGATAAGTAGATCAACCTAATCGAAGAACACCATAGTTCTGCAAAATATCAAATGAACATTCAAATTGAGAATTAACAAAATTATGTAATACCCAATACATAGACATTTGGTTAAGATACGATGTAGTCATATTTATACAATGTACAGGGCGGTTTGCCCGCATTCATAACAGTATATTGAGCCAAAAAATCCATGTTATTTGACAATATCATATATACTTGCTGAAGAATGAATCGATATTGTTTAATCACACTACTATATTATAAAGTATTAATTCTTTTGTTTACCAAACCATATAAAATAAACATCAAGTTGATTCGTGACATTGAACATCTACTAAGAGTTCAAAAACTAAATTTTGGCATTGTCTCTTCTTTTTCTTAATCCTAGAAATATAATACTAGTTGATGAAATCCACGATGTGATACATCTTTATTGAATCTTTAAACATGACTTACTTGTTCAAGTAGCTAATGAAAGTTTGTTGCATCATTTCTTCTGTAAATCAGGGTATCATTTGCTGTTCACTTTTGTAAAGTGGTGCTTACATTGATTTTAGACTGGGTCCTTTTATTCTGTAGAAAATACCAAAAACATATCTTATTGTTGATCCATTGACTACTTACACCCTCTATTTATGCAAATATCATTCACATACCTCTAAGCAAAACCCTATATTATGAAGATCAAATTGCCCCTTCTAGCAAACTCATTTTAACATCTTGCTTAGGATTTGAGTGGTTTGGTTTTTGGATTGTTTCGAGTTTTTTGGGTAAATGTGAGAATTTAGGATTTTGCGAATGAAAGTATCTCTGAGAAAATTACATTTTTATATAAGGACACCAGGATGATTGATGTAAATGTGTAAAGTAGCCTCCAAAGGTAAAACTTGAGTATGTATTTGGTATTTTCAAAAGTAGAGGTATATAAGTGGTCATTAGGTGAGACTCAAGGCTTATTTTTGGTATCTTACCTTTTTTTTAACTTGGACCGCAAGTAATGTTTCTCTCTTCTACCTTTTTTTTTTTCACGAAGACCCCATGAAATGTTCTTAACTTGCACATGATTTGTGAGTCACCTTTTTGTCTTCTTTTGAATTTTTGTTGCCAGAGTTTGTTAGTCACGTTGGGTCAACTTTTGCATTAATCGAGTGCAAATGAGCTTAGTCAATCTCAATCATTGAATTACGTAGATCTCATGTTGGGTCCACATAATTTAACGAGTGGGATGCATTGATCTCATCATCAATTGTTTGATTTCATCATTGTTTCTCCTAAAGAAAGATGCAAAGCTTCGAATAGCGGATTTTGTCCACGGCACTAATGGACTCGGCAGTCAAAACTTCCCGCCACCAAAAGGAAAATCAGTAGAACAGTCAGCAGCCACTTTTCTCATTGAGCAAGCAAACCTTTATCCCGGGGAAGCTACGGTGGTTGCATTGGACCTGCTCATTGTCTTCTCTATCACTGTCTCTATTTTCAAATTTATTTCATCTGCATGTCAATCTCTTTTCGGTGAGCATTTACTTCGAACCCATCTCCATATTCGACATCATTTCCTTGCAAAATTGAGAAAAATTATCAAAAAAATCATAAACCTATTGTACAAATTTCAATTTAGTCCTAAACTTTATATTTTGGCTAATTTAGTCCTAAATCTTTTGACAATTTGCCCATATAGTCATTTCGGCCAATTTTGATCAGAAACCGTTGACCTAGATACTGACCGTCCTACGTGATACAGCCGGCGCTGATGTGAATAATTTTTATAATTTTTAGTGAATTATTTTATATTTCTTTTCTTTCTTTTTTTTACTATAGCCGACGAGAGTCACTGGGTCTTTAACAATGGCCGGTGACCCCCGCAGGCCACTAAGCGAGGGCTTGTAGGCCCTCACTAGATATGAGCGAGAGCTGCCTCACCTGCAATTGACAAGGCCGCGATGGCCTCATCGACTGGCTGGTGAGGGTCGTTGGCCATTGCCGATGCGCCGGCGACCCTCGACAACCACAGTGGAAAAGAAAAAAATTATAAAATTATAAAAAATTCAAAAAATTTTAAAAAATTGCAAAACTTGTCCACGTCAGCGCTGGTCATGCCAAGAAGGATAACCGGCGTCCACGTCAACAATTTCCTGCCAAAATTGGCTATAAGGACTATATTGGCAAATCGTTAAAAGATTTATGATTAATTTGGTTAAATTGAAAAGTTAAGACTAAATTGACATTTGTATATTAGGTTTATGACTTTTATGATAGTTATCTCTTGTGCGTCTGCTTTTCTATATGCGCTTGTCTACATCATTCATACATATTCGACTCATTTATTAATCGTGTCATATCTTTAAAAACCCAACATGTCACTTTTATCAAACGAGTCGCACAACATGATGCATTTAAGATATAAACCCTTATAAAAATATGTTCTAACGTGTAATAGTGTCTAAATGTATTTAACTAGATCGCATTGACCCAAGCAATATGTTAACTCATTTAACTAATTGTGTCTTAGTGTGTCATAGACAGATTGAAATGTCAATTAGCAAATAACACTGTTTGTTATTTGTGTATAAAAATTTAATCCGTTTAAACTTAATTTGAATATGCTTACTATCATATGTCCATTTCACGTCATGTTAATCATGGCCTAATTCCCTAAAAAACCCAACTGTAGCCAATTTAATCCTAAACCGTTTTTTGGTGCTAATTTAATTCTAAACATTTTGACTTAGTGTCAACTCAGTCATTCCGGCTAATTTTGGTTGGATTTTGTTGACGTGGACGTCGGCCGGCCTGCGTGGCACTACCAGCATTGACGTGGATAACTTTTAATAATATTTTAATATTTTTTCGAATTTTATTTTATTTTTTCTTTTCTTTTCTTTCTTTTCCCTTCTTTTTTTCTTCCTCCAGCTGATCACCGGACCTCTGTGACCGGCCAGAGGCCAAGGCCGGTGAAGACCTCGCCTGCCTTTGGCGAGGCTCGCCAAATGGCCGCGAGGCCGGCCTTGCACTGGGCTATCGAGGGTCGAGCCTCGCCGGCCATGGGTGATGCCGGCGAGGTCATGCCTCGCCATGGCTAGGTAAGGCACGACCTCACCGGATCTGGCGAGGTCAATCCTTGCTAAGCCATGGTGAAGGCAAGCCTCGCCCATGGCCAGCGACGCTTGACCCTTACCGGTCTCGGCCTCTGGCCGGTCAACAATGTCAAGCAACTGGCTAGAGGAAGAAGAAAGAAAGGAAAAAGAAAGGAATATTCGAAAAAAAATTAAAATATTATTAAAAGTTATCAACATCAGCACCGCCCAGCGTTCACGTCAGCAAAATCCGACCAAAATTAGCCGGAAGGACTAGCACTAGATCAAAGGTTTATGACTAAATTGGCACTAATGTAATAGATTTCGGACTTTTCTAACATTTTTCCCCGAAATCTGCCCCAACTTTTTTTGTTTAAAAAAATCACCAAATTTCACTCTAATCCCATATCTGCCTACGCATCCAAAAATTGCCACTGATTTTTTCAAAATTATCAATATTGGAGCGAGTTAAAGGTTCATTATTAGAACATGTATCTTCCTCAATACTCTCACAAAACAACAGTAGCCTCCTAATATTGATAATATTGACGGAACTAGGGTCGATTTTTTTACAAAGGGTTAACAGGGGCAAATTTCGACTAAAGTGAAAGTTGGTAATTTTTTTGAAGAAAAAAGAAAATTTTGGGTAGAATTGGGATTAAATCTAAAGTTTTGAAATTTTTTTAGAGGAATTAGGCTTGTTAATTAGTGGTGTCAAAAATTGGCTA